GCCCTAAAGCGTCCACGCCTGACAGTAGTGGGTTCCCCCCTCCGATGCCAGTCACTCCGTTGTTGTTCAACATGTTGTTGTTGCCACCCGGGATGGCGGCCGCGGCAGCGGCCGCGGCGTGAAGGTTTGATACCATCGAGTTCATCTTTGGATCCGTGTCGTCTTGGATCAGCCTCCTTGTCGGGTACGTTCCGTTCGGTTTCGGTAGAGACGAGAAAGCCCTGGTGTGTGCAGAGAGTGAAATAGAGGGGAGATGTGCAAAGAAAAGTAGAATTAGTACGGAGATTCGAAAGGAGAAGAACCCGGATTTGGTTCGATCATACGGGTAGAGCTCGAGGCCAAAAAGTTAAGCCACTTCTAAAAACCATCTCCTCTCCGTCCATCGTACTTGCCCCTTCCGCCCTTGGAGAAAGGCCGCTCCTTCTCTACCACTCTTGATGCCATGATGATGACTAGCCTTACCTCGTGCTTGGCTTTGGCTCTTGTTCCATGAACCACGGATGTTTCAGAGCCTCGGCCGCGGTGATCCTCTTCGTAGGATCGTATTGCAAAAGATTGTCGAAGAGTTCATAGCCCCCCGCGCCTCTCGACCGGCTAGAGTACCACGAATGCAGTGTCTTTGGATAGCTGGAGGTTTGAGGGGGTGATGTATGGATCAGCAAGTTACGCAATCGAGTAAGGATAAATGAAGGGAGGCTCGATGCCCGCGAGCATTTCCTCGTACGTGGGACTGGGGAGGAAGAATGGAAACATGAAAAGAGGGAGGGAGGACTGTCCGTTTACTCAACTTATCAAGGCGAAGGTGAGGCCACCATCCTTTATAGTCCGGCATTGTGTCTATTCCGGGCCAACGATCCTTCCCGGGCGTCCCGAGGATCTCCACGATTTTTGTCAGTTGATCTCTGCAGACAGAGACAAAGGTGCATTGTGAGAGGCCGATCGATTCTCAGTGACTGCCGAACCGCTCCTTGGTTAAGATGGTTCGACAGAGGTCTATGTTGGCCATTACTCACGTTTGGAAAGGCGCTGCCTTGGTCTTTGGATCCATTTTGGCTTCTTCACCCTTGAACATTGGCCTGAGAGCCAGAAGTTCACCCCAGATGCATCCCACGGCCCACATGTCGATCGCAGTGGTGTAGTGCCGGGCACCAAGTAAGAGCTCAGGTGCCCTGTACCAGATTGTGACGACTACCTTGTCACCACTGTAGAGGGATTGAAGGGGAGCCGAGTAGAGCCTGGCAAGTCCCAGGTCCCCAATCTTGACCACCCCTTGCGAGGTGACGAGGATGTTTGCTGGCTTCAAATCACGATGCAGCACCCAGTTGGCGTGAAGGTATGCAACACCATTCAAGAGTTGCCACAAGAGTGATTTCAGGACGCCGAGACCTATTGGTGTTCTGAGCACTGTCGAGTGATGATGGATGAGCTGAAGGAAGTCGTGCTCTGCGTATTCGAAGACCATATCTGTTAGAGGGTGGAAGCGGGTGAAATGGAAGGAGACAAAAGGTGGCAGCCACCTCAGTTCAGAATCACAAAAGCGGATTCATCTTCAGCCCCTGTTCCTTGCATCTCTTTCGAGACCCAATCGACCTACAGATTGACTTGTCCTCGAACATAACCTCCCTCAAGGTCACCACATTCTCATGCCGGAGTTCCCTATTGAGTGCAATCTCTCTCATGGCACTCTGGCTGATACCAGTGTAGGTCGAAGATTCCGACTCCTTTGAATCCGGTTTGAACTTTTTGATGCCGAAAACCTGGCCTGCACCATTGCCCGACCCGTTCCAAGGAGAGCCCTCCCCAATCGGCGAGTCGCTTGCTCTACCTTTCCCTTTTACCGCATGGTTCAGGCTCGGGTTCCTCAGCTTGGCCTTGTAGACTCTTCCGTATGTCCCGGAAGAAATGAATCCCAATATCGTGTAGGTGCTAAGGACGGGCCTTCTCACACTGTCCCTGTAAGATCGATACGCTGCCATGGCAGCACTGGGACTAGAGTTTGCGGGTATAAAGCTTGTCTGACCATGTTGTGGCTGAGAAATTTGTTGGGCGGGGGTCACCATGCCTGATTTGAGATGCGAGGAAGAGGTGGATGTGTTGGAGGACATGGTTGGAGTCGAGACACCAAAGGTCACACCATGCGACCGTTTGTCCCCTGTGAGTGTGGTGGTTGAGGTGTATGCTTGTGAGCTTCCTTCTGGTTTAGAGAGTGTGCGTGAGTGAGCGAACCATTCGCAGTTTGATGGAAGTGGAGCCCACAGTGGTTTGGGATGCTTGAGGTCTTGAGGTCTTTAGAAGGATCCGTCAGGTGCGTGATCGAAACGTGCAGTCGAAAAAATACTGGAGGGTGCTCGAGCCAAGGCACAGGGCCGGATTGGTTAACAGCTTTTGATGGTGGTGGTGGAGGTGGTCCTTTTCGATGACGGTGGTGGTGTAAGAAGGTAAACTTTCCCGCTCCCACCCCTCTTTCCCACTACCTGTTGAAGAGAAGGCTTTCCCAAGGGGCTTCACCTCACAAACATGCCGGTTCACTTCATAGCCGAATTCGTATCCTCCAAGGTACCGTCAGAATACTATGCCACTTTGGGCTCTGCCATCCTGGCCACTTCGCTGCTCAAAAAATGGTCATCCGGTCAGAAACTGACCGACATGCAGGAGTCTTACGGAAAGCCGCTCAGAGATCTTCACGGAAGGGTAGTACTAGTAGCTGTGAGTAACGAACAGACCATGTGCTCATCCCCCCTCCGTCCGTCTCGAATGTGCCGAGGAAAATATCTAATGGGACAATCCTTTAAAACGATAAAATGAATCAGTCTGGCTCTTTCACTCCTCTAGGGCTTGTCACTCTCTCCTCTCTGGCTCATAGAGGTGCCCAGATCATAGCCTTGACACCAACGTTGCGTTCCCCTCGCATACACCAACTCATAGCACTTCTAAGGGATAGCACCAACAATGAGCTTATCTACGCTGAAGAATGCGATCTCCAGGATCTGAATTCTATCAACACTTTCTCGTCAAAGTGGAACGAAGGTGATCCAACCACCGCTGGTCCCAGTTCGGGAGGGAAAGGAGGGCCTCGGAGGATTGATGTTATGCTCTTCATGCCTTCAGACGAAGGGCCCTACTCGGTGGGAGAAGGGATCAAGGCTTGCGAACACCCTGAGGTAGAGAGAACTTACGGTGAAGAGGTCTTAGGAAGGTTTCACCTCATAAACGCAATCTTGCCAAGCTTGCTGCTGCTACCACCTGAGAGGGATATTAGAATTGTCAGCGTGATATCTCCTTGGTATGGTGCAGGAGTCTCATCACTGACACTGCTTGGCGCACCCCTAGAGCCACCACAGGAGGAAAAGAAGGATGGTGAACGCTCGAAGGCCAAGATGAAGAGAGCTTACCCTCTTTCGACCTCGGAGCCTTGGAGGATCCAAGGAGCGGCAGGGCTGAGATGGTACGCTCTTTCTCGGGAACTTCAGAGGCGTTTGCAACTCTTGGCCGAAGCGGATCATAGACCTAGGGATAAACTTCCAGGGATTGATCCGATTGCGATCAGACCGACAGCAACCGAATCGATCAAGAAGGGAGATTTGAAGCAGGTGAGGAGGAGCAACATCTCTGTCATCAACGTCTGCACCGGTTTCGAGAGGAACTGCGATATAATCAGCTTCCTGAGCCCCCCTGCAGTTGACAGGGACGTCCATCTTCTTGGTAAATCAGCCGATAGCGACCTCCATGACGCTCAAGATGATCACTTAAAAGATCCCAACCCTGCTGATTTTCTCAAGGAAGCCCTCGATCCGCGTTTGAAGGAAAGAAGCACAGCGAATGGCTCGGTACGGTATAAGAAACTTGCAGATACCATACCTGACCAGAGGTTTTCGCCGCGAGAGCAATCTCCGAGCGTATTTGCGAAGCTGGTCACGCTGGTGCGCTACCTTGTTATCGTGGTGCTATTTCCCTTGATCTGGCTCTTCTGTAAGAGCCCAACTGATTCAGCGGACAGCATAATCTGGTCGATTTGCAAGGAGATGGAGACCGAATCAGAGATTTGGCATCGTCTTGAAGCAAACCATAAGAACGACGAAGATCGTAACGTTTCAGACAGCAAGATGAGCAAGTACAGAGAGGGCTTGAGACAAGGAGAGCTTTACCGTGAGGGGAGGATAATCAGGTGAGTAAGGAAGCAGCCCTTTCCACATGCCTCATTTTAGGCTACAAGCTTACATGCCGCTCTACTTTGCCTTTGAATCCATCAGGCCAGTCCTTCCCAAGGAGCTCTTAGATAGACCAGAAGCTCTATCCAACCTTTGGAAGCATGAGGAAGCGAGAGTTGAAAGTATCATCGGAAGCCTTAGGCGGCCTGGGAAGGCCTCTGGCTAAACTCGGCTTGGTCAGAGATGGATGCTTTGTAACCTAATAAGGTTGATTCCTCTAAACATCATCGTAGAGCGATGACCGCAATTCTGCCTCGGTGTCGAAAAAGACCGAATCACATTAGTGATGTAGTCACTATGCTTTTGATCTTGTGTGACCTTCAGAACTCTGCGATTACTTTCTTGTCTCCCTTCCTTTATTTTCCCTATTTTTGCTCCCCGCCCAGACCATTCCTTTTTCCATCCTTACTTGTGCGTAGGTCATGTTTTTCTCCTCATAAGTCAACCTGGCCTACAGCAAAACAGTCACCACTTCACCTAGAAGAGGCAAGAGAGGGGGAAGAAGGGGGTGGAACCAGCAAAAAAAAATCAACATGAGAAACCAGACAACTCTACCGTGGTATCCGAACTCATCTGAATCAAGGGGAAGGACTTGGGCATCGGGTGAATGAGATTCGAGCGAGGAACAACGAAAGGACCTTAACAGCAGGAAAGTAGGTCAGCTTGTTTGGACGTTACGAGCTGTAGAAGAGTGATGGGGGTAAAAAGTTAACAAAAGAACCCAAAAATGTACAAAAAAAGGATCGAAAAATAAGCTATCAGGATCACCCAATAAAATTGGGTGAAAAAAATTGCGTGGACAGGGAATCGAACCCCGGGCAGGTCGAATTTACTTCGACACATGATCAGGCGGCCTGAATGGCAACGACCTATGTTACCACTACACCACCCACGCTTGCTTGTGCCATGATATTTTGAATATAATTTTATTGTCTAAAGAGAATTTCCCAAATCCAAATCCATCTTTTTTTATTTTATTTATTTTTTATTTTCTTTATAATAAGTTAAAGACACAACGTCTATCTATATCTGCTAAGCTCTTGAAGAAGAGATCTTTCAGGTCCTCCATATCATGGTTCTCCTCTTGAACAGTGATAGTTCCAAATGTGAATCGAGAAATCACCCACTTAAGCTTGCAAGTGAGACTGGGTACGAAATCCATCTTCCTCTTCTTTCTCCGTCCCTTTTTTCAACCGTCCAAAAAGTTCCCTCGATGTTCAAAAAATTGAACGATGAATGTAAAGGTACTAAACGCCGGTCTCTCGGTCTTTGGCCCTAGAGGTCCCAATCGACTGGGCCAACAATGTCGCTAGCGTGATTGATGAGCCGATGATTGAAACATCACCCTTCCTCCGTCTGTTGTCGTTGAACCCAAGGGTTGGATCGCAACTCTTTCGGCTTGGTGTATCATGAAGGACATGATTTTCACCGACCTCTTCATCCTTAAATGAAGCGTCAATTTACGCGTCGGGTGCAGTAGCTTTTTACGTGTGTCGTGGTTTGTCACCCAATCTTCATCTGCTTCATGCACATCCAGACAGAGTCCCTGACCAGACGCCGCTGTTTCCTTACGAATGTATAGCCAGCTTGCTTCCCATCAGAGCCAACGAGCAACAGGTTCTTCTCCTTTTCCTTTACCTTACTCGGACGTGCCCAACCCGGTTTGTACCGAACCAGGTATGTGCATACACCGGACCTTTCCATCGCCGTCTTTTGGGTTATTTTCGGGTTCTCTCTTAATATTTCTCTCACCTTCCACCCCTTATTCAAGCGCCGAATCACCGTCTTGGCCAGCGAACCAGGATTGACCCGTACTGCGGCATAACACGACGAGGAAAGGACACTTGAGAGGTGGAAAAAAGAAAAAAAAGCAAAGTGAGCGTGTAGTACTCGCAAAGGCTGGGTTGATTGACTGATCTTGGGGTGACGGATCCGGAGGATAAACTCAACCTCTCTGTGATCCCTCCTTTCCTTTCTCACCCCCCTCACCTTGATTCCGACAAAAGCGCTAGCAGAGGTTTTCCTTGATCCATTGTCTCTTTGGGTCTGCTCGTCTGTCCCCTCAAAGGGGTTTGTCCTGAGCCTCGAGCCAGGAAACAATAGTGATCGGCGAGAGGCCAGCATGATACCGTTTCTTTTTCTTCTGTCCTTGCTTACGGCAGTCGAATCTGGTCAAGTCGATCGCGCATCGTAGACATGACCTCACTAAGAAAAAGACAACCAAGAAGTCATCCCCAGAGTGCGAAGAAGGAGACGATGATGAAACCACATTCCCCTCATGGCAGTGCTTTCTCCTACGCTGTTAAGGAGGATGACCGAATGCAATGATTCCACTAGGAACCAACCCCCAACCCTCCCCCTCCCCGCCCCCCTCAGCCCCCCCAACTCTCCCTCCGAGAAAAATGCCCGAAATTTAATTGTCAGGGTAGCCCTTCCACCTATTGAGACACGATTCTCTTATCTGTCGCCCCCCCCCCCCCAACTTTGTCAATTGAAGGGTCGGGCATCATTGCCCTCGTAAGTTTTCGATCCTTCGGCCAGATCTATATGTTTGGGATTGAAACACGTGACAGAGGATGGAGAGGCAGCGGAACGTTGCTTGGAGCTTGAAGCTGGAAAGAAAAGAAATTGAGCATGCTCATGTATTCGAGTAAGCTCGATCCACGAGAATGGGCATTGTCAGAAATGGCAGCTAAAATGGAGGCTCTTGTTTGACTTGCTCCAATCCAGTGGTGAATCGTGATCTCGTATTATCATTATTATTATTTAGCAAGCCCTGAGGGCTCAAAGCCCCCTTCCCTCCACTGTACCTCCCTTACAGTAAGGAAAGGGCCGACTCGGCTACGGATGTCAGACAGTGGCTCGAACCCTCATCGCCTCCCCACGTCAGTGCTCCTCTTACGGTGATCCAGATTGATCATGACTGTCCGAAAGGATACCCTCAGCCCTTGCCCGGCTGGCCAAATCGAACTTGTTGAACGATGCTAACTATAGGGAGGGGATGGGAAAGGAGCTCCTTGATGTCTTTCTTCTTGTCTCTTCTCCCTATCCTCCCCCACCACCCCCTTTTCTGGTTCTCCCTCTCTTTCATGATTAGGAACAAGAGTGAGGAAAGAGTATGAAGGAAACCCGAAGACCCGAGACCCTCAAGGTTTTCAGTTGGGTCCAGGCTCAGTTTGGCGAGCTCGGCAAATTCGCTGAAGTGAGTAATAGCTTGCCTTCCTTCCGATACGCCCTTCAACTGCGACTCGCGTGTGTGCGCGTGTGGGGAAAAAGGGAGACGGTGCGAATGTTGAGGCTGCCAGGGTCTTGCTCGCTAGGTACAGTCAGAGTCTCTTATTGTTTCCATACCCCCTTCCCCCCTTCCCCCCTTTCCCCCTTCCCCCCTTCCCCCTTTCCCCCTTTCCCTCTTTGGTCCGGAGAAGAGCAGGGGAAAGGAAGGGGGAACTAGGTCGGTGCAAAGGGAGAAAGTTGGAAGGAAGGTGGCCGCTTTTATTTGAGACATCGGGTGCGACTAGTGGTGACTCCTTGGGGGGGAGGGAGGGGGGGTTGGGGGTGAGAAGCGACTCGAATCCATGGTACCTGTCCCTGACTTGAACATGGGACGGGCTATGATCGCTGAGTTCCTCGTGAAACGATCTGTGGGGTTTGGAGTGCGAGTCGGAGTCCTCTCCGTCAACTTGAGACATGGCTTTTTTTGTATAGACGTGTGTACTTTTTTTATAAAACTCTTTGTTAAATTTTAAAGGAAGTAATCCGTTCACCGGCTATGCTTTTCGTATAATCCATGATTGTATATTTGTTCGAGTCGAATAAACAAAGATGAAGAATTGTGGGGAAGGTCAGATCCGGAGATGGAGTCATGAGTCTGAGTGTGCATGTAGTTGTGGATAAAAAAGTATGCTCACGAAGGAAAGGACCAAACTAATGTGAATGTTTTGTTCTCAAACCCCCCCCCC